GTCGTGCCGATCACGGTTAACTTTCCTTCGGTCGCGCCGATTGCGGGCACATTGCCGCGGTCCGAAATGTATGGAAAACACAATTTTGGTCAAGGCGGTCTGAAAATATCCAATTTAGAACGCGGCAATCTGAAAACGTCAAAAATGATCGCATCCGTCTGATAATAAAAGTACAACATCGACCCGGGCGCTGAGCATGAGTGATGGAACTTCCTCCTTAACTGATGAATTGATCATAATATTGCATCGCATGCATATATATTAAACTTACCGCAGATGACTGTGTGAATAAATGTTAAGATCTGATTTTTTGAAGTAAAATTTTTGGAAAAATTTGATCCGATCTGAGTGTTGATCTGACCAGTTGTGTGTTCAAAAAAAAAATTGTAATACAATTTTACCAAAAAAATAACATTGTAATGTTTTTTTCCTAAAACAAAAAGCGCAGTTATTGTACTTAATGTTAGTGTTTCGAAAAAAAAATTTGGAAAAATTTGAATTACGAAAGTTAAGCAAATGCGAGGACAGCCCAAAATTTTTTTAAAATCAAAAACAGCTGACTTTCAAAAATTACCGGCAATTTTCTTCCGCTTGTCATAAAACAGAACTTTTGGATTTTTGGATTTTTTTTACCTAATTTTTAGTTTTTCTTTGTTCTGGCTTTCGAAGAAAAAAATAATGCACGGAGTGGTTTTTTATTCAGACCAATCCTCAAAAATTTTTCCCTCGCGGAATTGATCTACTGATCTTTCTGGTTCGCGCTCACCAATAGACTACCCTGACTTAAATATTGCTGTGAAACGCTCACTAATAGACTAACGTGACTAAAAGAATCCGGTTATACTTTGATGCTGAAAATTGAACGCGCATTATTTACGCTTTTCGAAGTATCCCGCACTACAAAATCGTTCCAAACTCAATTGAGGCAGGCTAAATAGCTTTCATTATTTCCATACAGCATTTTTACAATTCAGCTTAAAATTCAAATTTTTTCACCATTTCATTAACCAAAAACTATTCGAGACCAGTTTATGGACATTCGGAACATTCAGGACTTTGCCCTTATACGAGCAGCTTTGTTTGTAATTGAAGAAAAAATTATTTTTTTTTGAGTTTCTTGATTCTTTTCGTTGCTTGATTTATTGCTGCTGATACTTTTTTTTCTTTGGAATACTTAGATTAAAATCATTTTTTAAATCGAAAAATTTTTCGACCTTGTCTTCAATTCGTATTATAGGAAATTCGACGTTGTTTAACTTATGCTTGTATATGCTTGATTTCTTTACTAAGTGCCTTTTCTTTTCCTTTTTAATGGTCTTTATCCTGTCTTCAATTGACACATAGACAATAAATAACACATAGACAGCATGAATTTTTCCGTAAAATGGTGGATATTCTTGTTTCAAATACATCAACCTCGTAGTTGAAATTGGTAAAAAGACCGAAACAGGTTTCCAGTGATCTTGATTTTCAAGTTGTTTTCCAAGTTTTAAGAAATTCCTTATTTAACTATGTCGTTTTATTTATAAATCTACTGCTTCGGTTATTTTCAATCCAAAATTGAAGTCCTCAAGTTCAAATCACCACTCAAAGACAACTTTGGGCATTGAATATTTGTTTTTTTTTAATGTTTTTGCATTTGATTAATTCATAGTATTCATGTATCACATCAGTTCATGAGTTCCGAAGTTTTGTGTTTCCATTAGCACAAAGCAGACAAGATTATCAGGCTTTGACAAACAAAAAGTGACCTTATTTCAAAAAAAAAAATCTGTGCTCAACATATTCCGTGCTGAGGTGTGTTCGACTCATGATTCGACCGACATGGTCGAACGGAATCCGATTTTCGTCGCAAATTAAGACGGTCGAACTATATAATAAACACTATAATCGAGCAAAGTCGAATCATGGGTCGAACAGGGTCAAATCATGAGTCAAACAGGGATGAGTCGAACAAATATTGCGGTCACACAAAGTCGCAACATACCCATTTTGAGTCGCAATAGTCGCCACATACCCGATTTGGGTCGAAATGGTCGCAAACATACCCATTTTGAGTCGCAATGGTAGCAACATACCCAATTTGGGTCGCAATGGTCGCAACATACCTTTTTTGAGTCGCAATGGTCGCAACCTACCCAATTTGGGTCGTAATGGTCGTAACATACCCATTTTGAGTCGCAATGGTCGCAACATAAGTCCCCGACCTCAACCCGGGAACCAAAAAGTGCTTGACCAAGTCGGTCAAAACATAGCCAAATTGGGTCGAGTCGGTCAAAACATAGTCTTTTTTGGTCTGGTTGATTGAAACGTAAGTCCAACAACTCAACCCGGGCTATACGAATCTACGATGCTGAAGTTTGTGGCATTATATTTTGCGGCTGCGAAGTTTTTGACACATGATTTGACAGAAATGGTCAAATGATGTCCAAGTTTCGTTGTAGTTCAGGACGCTTCGGCTAATTCCCGGTAAAAGCAAAAAACTTCCGATAAAATTGAACAAAGTCGAACGATGTCCGGTAAAGTCGAACAAAGTCGAACAATATCCGGTATAGTCGAACAATGTCCGGTGAAGTCGAACAAAGTCTACCAAAGTCGAACTATGTCCGGTATAGTCAAACAAAGTCGAACAATGTCCGGTAAAGTCAAACAAAGTCGAACAATGTCCGGTATAGTCAAACAAAGTCTAACAATGTCCGGTAAAGTCTAACAAAGTCAAACAATGTCCGGTAAAGTCTAACAAAGTCAAACAATGTCCGGTTCAGTCTAACAAAGTCGAACAATGTCCGGTAAAGTCTAACAAAATCGAACAATGTCCGGTAAAGTCTAACAAAGTCTTACAAAGTCGAACAATGTCTGGTATAGTCGAACAAAGTCGAACAATGTTCGGTAAAGTCGAACAATGTTCGATAAAATCGAACAAAGTCGAAAACGGACTTCGTTTTACTCAAAAAGTCGAAATCGGACATCGTTCGACTGAAAAAGTCGAAAACGGACATCCTTCGACCGTTTCGATCAAATCATGAGTCGAGAACCTCAGCCCGGGCAGCACACTCCGTATTCAACACATTCCGTGTTCGTTTCAGATGAATAAGTATAGCTGAGGTCCGCTAGTACGAAAAAAAAATCTCGTATACCCATTGGTACTTATTATAGAAATCTTTAACGCAAGTTTTTAAATAACTTCATTACTTTTATGGTGGAGTGTTTAGCTTTTTCGCTAAATGTTTTGAACTATTATTTTAACCGTGATATGGGTAATTCGGACTGTTCGGGGGATGTTTGAAGAGCCGTTAACTTTTTCTAATGTATTTGTGAGGGTGGAAACAAAAAAAATCACTTAAAAAGAAATTCTTGTAAGTTTTAAGAAATCTAAGGAATCCTTGTAAGTTTGACCGCAGTTCATTTCAGATAAAAGTAACAAGATATACAAGATATTTATCAACTGCGCATTTAAGCTATCAAGTTATCAGGATTTTCAGTTTTGAGTACCTCCCACACCCCCATTTAGTTCTTTTCCTTTTTCAACTTAGGGGGAAAGCATGGAATAATTATTAAACACAAGATTCGATTAAAAAAACTTAATTTTGCATCCCGCGTACACAGTGCGTCTCTCGTATACTACCCCGATCAACACGCGACGCCCCCCCCCCCCCCTACCCAATTTTCAGCACAAAAGTCCCATAATGAATGAAGGAAAAGGACGAGATACGAATGTTCCATAGAATCTAAATGTTCCACTAAATGTAAATGGGAGAATAGTTTTCATCAATAATTTCAAATCATCAATATAACTATTGATCAGTCTAAGCACAACCAAATGGAAAAAATGAAAGCCCCAAACTTCTCTGTTTTTCCTAAGAGATCCAATATGTAGACTTCATCATAATTGGCTTAGCCTAAGTGATGACTTTTGACTTCTCAAGAAATTCCACTGTACTTCTATAGATATCCTCTAAAACCAACGCTTCAAATCAACCAAACTTCTTGCTAAAAAGTTCAAAATTACGAAATGGACCCAATTAAATGCAACTCCACAATTTTAAATATGTTGTTTTGAGGGTTCAGTTGTTTTGATAATTTATTGGTAACGGAGGCGTAGCGATTAGCATGTGTGCCTGTAAGCATGCTTAAATTGCTTTAACTGGGTGTGCTTTCAGACGAAAAACATTTCAGCCTAATTTAAAAATAGTTCCGACAACCACACGATTTGTTAGAGGAGATAAAATTTCATTTTCGCCTAACTAAAAAATCGGCGTAGTGCACGCAGTTCGAGATCGCAAAATTGAGCAAATAAAGTGTCAAATAGTGACTTTTAAGAAAATATAAGACAACATTTTTTACATGGGCAGGCAACCGACACACATACTAAAGTGGGATCTCAATTTTATTCAATGTAGGAACCAACAATTATTTTGAAGCGCTTTCTGCCTACCTGTGCGTCGAAAATGTCATTTTTTCTGTCGGTTGTTTCCGCAACAGCGGCGTGACATTTTCATTCAAACTTTTGTCGGAGAACCTTTTTGCTTAAGCACACTAAATGCAATGCAACTAAATAGAAAGCAACTAAGCGATACGGCATTTAGTTTGAATTTCAAGCCTATTGGAAATACTTACTCAAGATGGAAACGAAAACTTTAGGCCAAAAAATAACCGGTAAGCCTCATAATTAAATTATGCTTCTAAAAAAAATAGTAAATTTATTTTCGAGGGTTCATGTGGAATTTTTTTTTGTATATTCATAATAGAGAAAAAACTTTCCGCATGAACCCTGAAAAAAAAAAACAAATTAACTATTTCTTTGTAGGCTTGCATTGAATTTCGTCGCTCGGAGTATCTCAATCTTCATCAAAATTACGATGAACAAAGAATTTTCAACAAAAATGATTGTTCCGAATTCCATCATCTCCGAAACTCCAGATGATTGTCAAATTACCAGAGTGAGACCTCGATTATCATCAGAACTGAATTGTATTTTGTTTTGTTTTTTGACAGTTATCATGACAATTAATATCGTGCTAGTGAATCAATCACGAAATATCAACTACAACGATTCTTCGAAAGATTCTCAGTCAAGCATGTACAGTGCGTCGACTGCTGTTTTTATAGTCGAGTTTGCGAAGCTTACTTTAAATATCGTGCTTTTATTTTTATGTGAAAAAAGCTGGAACAAAAGCTGGAAAATCATCAAAGTTGAGTTTGTTCAAAACTGGCTGGAAACTATCAAGTGTTCAATTCCGGCTCTTCTTTACGTGGTCCAAAATAACCTTTCGTACATCGCTTTAACCTATCTTGACCCCGGTACCTTTGAGGTCACCTTGCAAATAAAACTTCTGACAACTGCAATTGTGATGCGATTACTGATGGGGAAAATTCTTAAAGTTTCTCAATGGGGTGCAATACTACTTTTATTAATGGGAATATGCTTGGCTGAATCGAGCGAAATTACAAATTCGGCTTCCATCAATGATTCGATAATGCCAATGCACGTGATCGAAAAACAAAATTTGACAAAATTGTCTAGTATCTCAGAAAACGATGATAATCCTCCGAAAAGAGTGGGGGAAGCTAAATTCTTGATTGGATTTTTTGCAACTGTTGCAATGACTTTCACCTCAGCTTTAGCCGGAGTTTATTTCGAAAAGCTTCTGAAACACGGAAAAATGAGCAAAAATTGCCAAAAAATGTTGAACAGACATGAACAAACTAAAAATTCACAAAAATCGTATGCCAGATTTTATTATTCACGGGAAATTAGCTCGCTGTGGGTCAAAAACTTACAAATGTTTCTGTTTTCAGTTCCAATATCGTTGATAGGATGTTTCACTCAAGATTCTTCAGAAATTCAGCAATTGGGATTTTTCCATGGATATGATTCTCGTGTTTGGCTTATAGTTTTCATATCCTCTGTTGGAGGTTTGGCCACTTCTGTCACGCTCAAATATCTGGATAATATCTATAAAAACTTCTCCAGCTCATTTGCCATAATTTTGGCGTCGCTCAGTTCGATTTACCTATCCGGGAAACAGTATGGGTGCTTTTTCTTCTTCGGAAGTGCGTTGGTTTGTGTGTCGCTGTGTTTTTATTACAAAAACGACAACTCTCCAAAAAATGAAACCATGATTGCTTACAATTCGCCATTATTGAAGAAATCATTTTTAAAAAACACAAAATCCCTTAATATTTAATGAAAAAGTTGAAAAATTATAAATCGATTTTTGCTATACCATTTTTTGAACAACAGTCTGCCTTATTTGAGCCATGAGTGAGATAAGTCAAAAAGAAAACCGCTTGAGGCAAGTTTGAATTAAGGCTATGTCAGAAAACAGGTATGGATCTAGGATGTTCTCGAGGGGGGGGATGTTTTTCAAAACATTTCGAAAATTTTGTCTACTACTTTTTTTGGTCGACCAAATTGATTTTCTAACTCTCTGAAATAAAGATATTAGTTCGATCAAATTTACTGCGTGGCATGCAAATTTTTGAAAAAACAGCCTTTAGGCTCTTTTTTAAAACTGTTAACCAATAAAAACGGTTTATTCAGCGCGTTCCCCCCTCCCACTCAAAACTACTATATATACTATATATTGGCGCCCTAAGCTAAGCGCCTTAAGAAAAACTTTAGTATCGGTCATCTAAAAATGGATGTCTTAAAATAGTACCAAAGGGTCGAAGGGTGGAATATCTGAGGTAGGCGTATAATCCCCCGCCTCCCTCTTCATCTTAATTAATAATAACTACACTAAAAAAGCGCCCATGATTAGTTTGGTTTAGGAAGAGATTAATTCAATAAATTTTGTTTCAGTAAAAATCAAGCGAAAAAATGATGAACCACAATTTTTTAAAATCTATCTCCTGCGATCTACCATAGTTACGGTGTTGGTTATGATCGAGGCAGGGGCACAAAGAAGTGGAACTATCTCTCAAAGAACATCCTTTTCCTAAATTATTTTCAGCAGAAATTTCAGTACTTTTCGCACATTTTCTTCAAACTTGAGTAGTGTATGTCAAGTAAATTCAGCGCGGGAAGGGGGTAGAGACCTCCATAAATAATGACAGGGAAATGACTATCCGGTCTCGACCCTATGTATTCACATAGATAATAGATTTCCCATGTAATAAGACAGGTTATAGGTTTCAGAAAATCAGAAGGTAAAATGGCAGGCTTCAGATTGTTAGTTTTTTATGGCACCCGATTGAGCCGATAGAGCAAGGTTTTAATTATTCATGGTAGATACCCTCCGCGGTGATTGGAGTCGCCAAAATTTGTCTGTAAAAATTCATGACAATCGGAAAATGGGAACAGTAGTTTTAATTATAAAGTTTTGCAAGTGGGGGAAAAGGAGAAAGAGCCGTATACGTTTATATTCTTGCCGAGCGAAGCATAAAACAATAATCGCTCGTTGACTACACAAATTAAAGAATCAACTACATCTGATGGTTGTCAGTAAATTTTTTTCAAAAATTCAATAAATAAAAAAAATAAAACGCTATTGACATGCACTTTTGATGTTTTCTCTTCCTGCGAATTTTGTTAGTCAGAACAAAGCCAACTAATAGTAGTGAACGCAAGTAAACAGAAAAACAAACAATGACTTTGTTGAAGAAATGTGAACTTTCAAGTTTTGAAGAAAAAAAATAGATGCTCTCTAAGCTCTTTGAACTTCAAAAGCAATTTATAACATTAACCCAACTCGAGAAAACTGGATCAATAGGTAAAATTTATATTCCATTGGAAATTTACAAAATAAATTCCCTTTTCGAAACTAGAAATCGTTCACGTTTTTTCGCTCCATTTCTAAATTCGTATTTGTAAAAATCTATTCGCATAACTTTCAGCAGTTTAATTTCAATTAAACTTAAAAAGTGCATATAAACCTGAGTGCATTCATAAATGCATTAGTATTTATGAATGCGCATCTATAGTTTTTAGAGCAATGTAAGACTTTTACCTGATAAGATATCACCAAGACCGATATAAAAGTCTTCACTACGTTCATTTTTTAAAAAGTTTTCACAATTATCGGTTCAGAAAATTTGACTCAGTTTCTATAGTTTATTTAAAGGCGAAAACATTCTTTGCGAACTGTCCGGAAACGGGATAAAAATGTGAATTATGACTGGGGTTTTTGTCCCTATCCGTTGTAAACACTGAGGGGAGAAATTTCCCACAACACCCTGTTGCTTGCAAAATCAGGGTTACAAATTTGCCACCACCCCATCTGGTATGACGTGATTTATGATTACTACTGAATTAGGCCACTAGGAACTCCTGTTACCTTGAAGATGTCAAAAGAAACATCAAAAACCATAAAAATTAGCCATAAACATAGTAATTTTTGCAAACTGGGAACAATTAACCAGGATCAATTTGGGGGGAGAAAATATGGATGTTTCATGAACTAACTTTGAGAATAGCCTCGATTTAACCGTCCAATGCAATGAAAACTTCGAGCGTTTGCGCCGAAGAAAAATCAAATACTTTCAAATTTTTAAGTCCCACTAACCACCGAATTACACACGCACCCAAACGCTTTTTCGGTCATCAAACGACGCCGCAAACGAGACCCGCAAGCAGATATAAAACAGGCCGAACCTTTAAAGCCGAAGAAAAAGAAAAGTAAGAAATCAAATAGAACGAATACTTAAAATGCTAATATGCTCACGATTTGTCTGTTGAAGCATTTCCAACAGAGGAAATTTTTTTCGCTCATCAAACGACGCAATATGAGGCCACTAAGTCGATATATAGGCCGAAACTTATTTGGACGAAAAAAGGAAACGAATTTGAATCGGACGTACATTTTAAATGCTAAGATGCACAAAAAAGGTCTGTTGAAGTAATTGCAACAGAGAACACCAGATAGTCATGCGAAAAAATTTTATCACAGGAAAATAGTCATTTACCAGGGGGTGCCGGACATAAAGCCGACGGCACTTCAGGCCGAAGCGTAAACTTAGGGACTTCAAGCCGAAAACTTTCTAATTAAGTCATGAAATATGATCAATTTGAAAAAAAATTTTGAAGATCTCATTTTCATGATCTTTCTTCAGTAGTTATTGGCGTTTTCATAAAATTTTAGCCTCCAAATGATGTTTGGTAAAGTTAAAATAAAACACGGTTGAAGATAGTTTTCTTATTTATAATTTATGCGTTTCCAAAACCAGCTGATATTATTAACAGATGCCAATTTTAATGATTCACTGTCATGAATAACGATTATGGACTAAACGTGCCTAAATTTTTGAAAAGCAACGTTTTAGATGATAAATAGTAATTTGAGGGAGTTGTCAAGTTAAAATTTCGGCCTGAAGACCCTTCGGCTGGAAGTCCTGTCGGCTTGTTGTCCTAGACCCACTTTACCAGGTTGCAAGACACTTGATGTCGCATGTGTAAAAGTAACTGAAGGTAGGCCAACAAGTTGAAGGGCCAAAAATAAAATAACAATGTCAAATAGCCAAAAATTAAAATTGTTATGCAAAATAACAACAGATTGTCGTGCTGTTATGCGATTGTCACGTCATTCTGATATAAATTACGATTTTTAAAGTAATTTTGGCTTCAATATATAATGGTTTGTAAATACGGCTGTTTGGTGAACATCCGCCGAGTAACTGGAGCGACTATTAGGCAATTGCATTCACTGAATTGTTAAACTACTGATACTTGTTTATCAGTACTTGTTTATACTAATCGTAACAGCAACAAGACTGCTCGTATATCAGGGCAAAGCCCTGGATGTTTCGACTGTCCCTTAATTCATATCGAATAGTTTTTGGGAAAAGAAAATATTGAAAACGTATACATTTTGGACAATATCAAAGTGTACATTTTGAGTCGTTTGAGTTTAATACGACCAATTAGCTAGCAAATCAATTCAATTTGGAGCAATTTTGTTGTGCGGGATAATTCGCCACGCATAAATATTTCGCGTTACGCTCTAAGTAATTTGAATAACTTCTTCAAAGCGCGCATAATTTAGTCCAGATAATGTCCAATTTGGCAATTTTTAAACCACCAAAACTTTACAAAAAATAATCGGTAAAATAACTTTTCAAATTTGAACTCAGGAAGTCGATATCTTTAATAGGGTATAAAAAAAGTTTTGTCTAAAACTATTATTTCGATCGGCGAAAATTGACTGAATAAAAAAACCACACCGAGCATAAATATTCCGTTTTACTTCGAAGTCGGAACAAAATAGAACAGCATGAAATGAAACATTGAGAACGTTCCTCGTTCATTTTAAAAGATTTCGAGAAGAATTTATTGCACTGCTATAATCGTATTTATAGAAAATCATGCCTTTCTAATCTATTTTTTGAATGATTATTTGAAACAATTTATGGGACCGCTTTCGAATTATAAATCTGAACAGAAAAAAGCACTCTGACTTCACTGCACTATTTCATCATAAATTAGTCTTGCTCAGCAAGAATTACGGGAAATGAATCATTGCAAATTAAGTATCAAATTGAGTATTTAGAAATGATAATGGGTCAATATGATTATAAACAAATTATTTCATTGCAAATTAAAGACTGTTAGTAGGCAGTTAGGACATCGTAAAAACCATAACCAGTTAGCAAAATAGTCTTACTAAAATTGCGTTTCTTTAAGAAATGATAAGGCATTGAAAAATCGGCAACCGATTTTTAATTTACAATTTATATACATGCAAAAAGAGTCCTGCTGTTTAAGCTTAAAAATCGTCGGCATTTCTTAGCAAGCCAATGCGCTTTTTTCTATCGATCCAAGGCCAATTTGGAGAAGACGTTACTTTTAGGAGACGGAGTTTGGTTGAACCCTTTGCCTCCAGTTGGACCACCCAGTCCCAATGGACTATCTGCGTTGTGAAAACCCCCATTGAACGACTTCTCTTTCCTCTTTTGATTCTGTCGATTTGTCAAGGTTGAGATAGAGCCCGATTGAAGTCCAGCTCCTTGTAGGAACATTTGGGCAGGTACTTGCTGTTGGAGTCTCGAAGGCGATGCTCCTCCATGTACAGGGGGAAGGTCAACTGTCAGATATGAGTTCTTGACATGACCTTTCTTTAAAGGAGGGTCAAATGCATGTGAAAGTGTGCTTGCATGGTGCGGAGTAGAGATCGTTGAATTGTAGATCGGGTTCTGACCCATAAAAGAAAGAGTGGAACTGGCTGCCGAGGGGTTCCCTAGTGTGTTGCTCTTCCGGCTGATTGTCATACTGGGAGTATTTGGAATTGTTTCGATGATCGGGAACTTATCGCACACTGAAATGACTGCAGACCCAAAGCATAGATTGAAGTTTTTACCTGGTAGTTCAAACATGACAGTTCCCACTCGCATCTTGTCGTTCTTTTTTAAGATTTGATAGCCAATAATTGACGGCGTGTATTTATTTTTCATTCTTGAATCAACAGTGAAATATCGCTGTGCGTTTTTACCACTTCGTGGTATAATATTCGAAACCGGTTGAGACTGGAAATTATATTCGCTGAAGAGGAAATCGACAGGGACGAACGGACTTCCAGATCCGAAAGGCGACGCTGCCGAGTACAAATTTCGGCCGTGACGATTCGGATTCACGAATCCTTCTGGTTGTGACAATCTTATATAAATGCAATACACGACTACTGTTAAAAACACTGTTAGTATACAGCACACTATCAGAATGGTAAGGATATGAACCACCCTCCAACTATTGTGCAACTGCTGCTGATATATTATTCCGTGTGCCTTTTCGACTGGCTGAGCATTGTGCACAGCAATAAAGAATCGATTCTGATTGAAGACAAATTTATCATGAGGTAGTTCGATAACAAAACGACCCGATATGTTGAGACCGTACAAAATGGAGTTCTCGTGCTGCATTCGAACGAATAGATCTCGCTTTCCGCCGGACTGATTTGCCCTGTAAAAGAAAACTTGCTCTTCCTCTAAAATTTGAGACTGCTTTTCACTTTTCGCTATTTTCACTTCCGAACTCAATTGTTCATTCTCTTCATCAGATACCAGTGTGAGGGTGGAGCGTCTCGATCTCGAAACCGCAGACTTGTTCGCATCTTTACCGGTTTCAATTTCATTTGAAGCAACTGGCCCTAGCTTTGCAAACTGGACTTTATCGTTGAGAGGGTCTAAGAGCGAGATCTGATCCACGTTGGGACTAGTCTGCGAGGAACTGCGCATTCTTATTATTTTCGAGCTTTTAGTTAGGTACACGTCAACCAATCCATACGAGATTTCAATTGTGATTCTTATGTTAACGTTTCTGTACTTGGGCTGAACATGGAAGAACGCAGCTTGTCCTGGCGATAGATCGTGGACATCGTATTCGGACTCCTCGGTGGACATGAAGTACTCGGAGTTGTCTGGATCTAGAAAGTATGTGTTGCTTGTCGAGTGCATCTTCCGATAGCATTGCTGTCCGTCCACGCCACTCCCTATGTACTGGGCTTTAGGATCCGATTGGTCACACAGAGAACACTAAAAATGATGTTTTCATGTACATTCATCATCATTCGAAAATATTCTTAGGGCAGTAAAATATGTAAAGAACAACTTTGTTCTTTATGATGATCCGTAAAATCACATGAACCGTAAAATTCATTTTTCGAGAATCAATGGAGTCTAGTTTACATAGTTACGTTAACTTCAATAGGAACTCATCAATTTTAAACAGATCTGCCGATTGAAAACATAGAAAAGAACCGAAAAATAAACCACTAGCAATCTATTTTGCTCATTTCTTGATTTAGACGAGTTTGTTTTGTCCTGTTTAGACAAATCTGCATTTCATCGCCAAGAGTTTTATCAATTTTTGATAATAAAACTCTTCATCGCCAAGAATTATATCAATTTTTGATAGTACAACGCTTTTCGACAACTTTATGCTATTTTAAATGTCGCCTCGCGAAACTAATGAAGCAATTCTTATTACCAAAAATAGCAACAGAAAAGTCTAAACAAAGAGGCGAACACAGTTTCGCAACAATTGCGACACATCGCACACATAACATTGCCAACTAGCAGGTATAAAATAATGCGGACCAAATAAGTTCGAAGAAAAAAATACTTTAAAAAGTCAAAACTGTACATCTAGAAATGTATATCTCGAATGATGTTTGAGGAAAACGACCGAAAAAAAAAACAACTTCCAGCATTATTTTTGCGCTGAGAAAAAATTTGTCGAGCCGGAACTAGGCAAAAAAATTTTGGGTAGAAGCCCGTTGAGCTGAAAAAACGTCCTTGAATATTTTGGTCCAGTAACAGTTTTATGACTACAAGTTGTTATGTCCCCCGAAGCATAAAAAGGCAAAAGCATCAATTTTCTCCCAGTTACGGACCTTTGTGACAGAACTAAGCTAATATGACATACCCCAAAATCATTTAAGCCCAAGAACCTTTCAAGCAAAAAGAAAACAAACATAGCCAACAGATAGTTGAAAAAGATTCAATGAACGCACGTGAACAGAAAAAAATAATGACTTTCTTTGAAAAAAAAAATTTTCAACTTCAAAAAAAAATACATGCCCATAAAGCTCTTTGAATTTCTAAAACAATCAATCATTGACACCTTTTTGATTATTTTCACCCAATTTGAGAAAACTGGATCAATAGGTAATCTTTTTATTCCATTGGGAAATTACATTTCCTTTTCGAAACTAAATTCGATCACGTTTTTCGTGACCATTACAATTTTTCTGTTCGATAGTGGAGTTTGCTGTCCTTTTAACATAGGAAATGAACTGAACTTAAAATGAAACCATCAGTCAAACCGCTAAAAATAAAATTTGAACCTAACAAACTTCAAGACTTATCCTGAAAAAAAATCGTCACGACCTATATAGGCTCATCGATTCATTAAAAATTTATATTTTCCACAATCATTTGGGACTTTTAATTTTTTTGATTAAAAAACCTAAATTACGAAAACTGGATCAAAATGTATCTTTTTCCGCTGTGAACTCTAAAAACTAAAATATACTACTGAAAAATCAATCATTTTTGGCGCCTTTGACTTCCATTGAGCAAATGAATTTGAAGATAACCTAAAATAAAAGTCAAACCTCACAACAAAAAACAAACGCTAGCGGATACAAATTTTAAGACTTTCCTGAAAAACAAGCACAAACTCCACGCTACGTAAATACTTGAAACTCTTTTCGTTCATTAGCACTTAAAATTGAAAGCTCACCTGTTTTTGTATTCTACACTTGGGGTCTTTGTCACATTGCTCTGGGGATCTGGTGTGACCTGTACACTGACATGCAGATCCATCGTCCTCGCTACATGAGTTGTTCCTCGCACCATGGTAGTTACAATTACACAGCACACAAGTGAACAGATTGGCGCTCTGTTTCTTCTTCCTATATCCCGCCCTACACTTCTCACAGTGCTGTCCTTCCGTGTTGTCTGAGCACCCGTAGCATTTCAGTTCTTCTTTCGAGTCCGTGCTCGGCCCCTCGTTGCCCACGAATGACGTGAACGATTCCACCTAATTATAATTATAATACAATTATAATAGGAAAATGATGAATTACTCTTTCACCTTCAAAAAATTAAACATTTTTCTTTTTATTGGCTGTTAAAGTAAATTAAGGTATAAATCAACTGAATAAACCAAATTCGGAGAAATTTATTAACGGTACGTTCTTTGATAAAGCCCATTTTAAACCGCAAATAATTCAAACTGCTATCTTAGTTTACATGCATGAAACCTTGTTTTACTGAGCAAATAACCTTGCGTTTAATAGCGTTGAGCTTTGTTTCGTTTGAAAGCGTTAAGCTTTGAGCATTAGTTTTAACACAAAAGCACATCATTGCAAGCTAGCTACTAAAGAATGAGACGGAAAAAATGAACAGACAGTTGACAGCCAACAGACAGTTGAAAAAGAGACAATGAAAGCAATTAATTAGAATTTCAAAAAAATATAGATATCCCTCCCTAAAAGCTCTTTGAATTCCTAGAACAATTTATGATTGGCACTTTTTTGATTAAAAAAACTGAGAAAACTGGATCAATAGGTAAATTTTTTTGCTGAGAAAACTGAAAACTAAACTCCATTTTCGGAACTAGAAGACGATCAAGTTTTTCGTGCCTTTTACTTTTCGTGGAGTTTGCCTTCTTTTAAAATGAAAAGAACTGAACTTCAAAAGAAATCAAGAGTCAAACCGCGAAAAGTAAACTAAAGTAAAAGTCCTGGAAAAAATCATCGCGCCCTATATAAGAGTCTGAGCGACATTCATCTACTCTTTAAAAAATTCAAGAAACACAACAAAAAGCATTAAATGAGTCTTTATTTCCAGCAAGTCGACAACGCGGTCATTCAGCCAAAAAAACAGCCGCTTTACAAAACAAAAAATTCCATAAATTATTAACATGGAAAAACTTTCAGCAATTAAGTTTGATAACTTTAAACTGTTGCAAGACAAACTACCTGAATTTTAATCAATCATTGTTTCCCTTGAAACGACAGCAATCAAGGCAAATAAGTAAAAAAACATAAGCCGAAAACATTTAGGACATATGAAGCTATCAAGCGGAACAAAATCAATCTAAAAGAAATATACACACTCAGGTCTTTTAATTTGATAAATTAGAGGAACACATCGATGACACATGCATCTACGAAAAAAAATGCTGACCGCCTGAAAAATTTCTGCATGTGGCAACTTAACTTTTTTAATTCTATATTTTATTTTTGTAAAGAAAGGCTCAGGTCGGGATTCGAACTCCTGCCCATAGGGTTCGGAGGCAATCACGTTACCTCTAGGCCAAGTGAGTAACCCTCTCGAAGTTGCTAAGGTTCACTAATAAAATAACTTCAATATTATATTTTACAGGAAAGTCGCAAAGCGCTATGGAGGCAAGGTTTAACTGAACGCAATGCTTAAGAACTTTCAGAGTCAATGTTTAAAAGGCTATCAAGTGTAAGGTTTAACAATTCATTTCTTGTTTCACAATAGATATATTTTGTCCAATTGAACAAACATACAAAGTTTTTGTAAAAAGTAGGCTCAAAGCACATTTACTTTCGCTTTCCATTCTTTGAACTTCTACGCGTGCTAACTTATGGTTACGTTTACGAGGAACTGGTTGAACTGAAAACCATTTTCTTTGAATTATAGCGCTGACTATGTCCAGGTGTCAATTAATCCCCGCCCCGCATCCTTCTTTTCATCCCTACAATGATCATTATTCGGATGCACCCCCTACCTTTCACTCCGTACCCTTTTTACCGTTCCACTAGAGTTGGCTATGTACTAGTACCACCTAAAACCAGTACCGTACGTACCAGTACGTACTAGCACATGTACTGGTACCAAATTTACTAGTACCGGTACTATCCCAACTCTAAGTTCCTTCTTTTTTAAAATGTATTCAGTTCCCTTTGTATTAACCACTAAGTCAAACCGCGAAAAGTAAACTTAAGTAAAATTCCTGGAAAAAAATAATCGCGCCCTATATAAGAGTCTGAACGACATTCATCTACTCTTTAAAAAAATCAAAATATTCAAGAAACACAACAAAAAGCATTAAATGAGTCTTTATTTCCAGCAAGTCGACAACGCGTTCATTAAGCCAAAAACAGCCGCTTTACAAAACAAAAAATTCCATAAATTGTTAACATGGAAAAACTTTCAGCAATTAAGTTTGATAACTTTAAACTGCTGCAAGACAAACTACCTGAATTTTAATCAATCATTGTTTTCCTTGAAACGACAGCAATCAAGGCAAATAAGTAAAAAAACATAAGCCGAAAACATTTAGGACGTATGAAGCTATCAAGCGGAACAAAATTGAACTAAAAGAAATATACACACTCAGGTCTTTTAATTTGATAAATTAGAGGAACACATCGAAAACACATGCATCTACGAAAAAAATTGCTGACCGCCTGAAAAATTTCTGCATGTGGCAACTAAACTTTTTTAATTCTATATTTTATTTTTGAAAAGAAAGGCTCAGGCCGGGATTCGAACTCCTGCCCATATGTTTCGGAGGCAATCACGTTACCTCTAGGCCAAGTGAGAAGCCCTCTAGAAGTTGCTAAGGTTCACTAATCAAATAACTTCAATATTATATTTTACAGGAAAGTCGCAAAGCGCTATGGAGGCAAGGTTTAACTGAACGCAATGCTTAAGAATTTTCAGAGTCAATGTTTAAAAGGCTATCGAGCGTAACGTTTAACAATTCATTTCTTGTTTCAGAATAGATATATTTTGTCCAATTGAACAAACAAACAAAGTTTTAAAAAAAGTAGGCTCAATGCACATTTACTTTCGCTTTCCATTCTTTGAACTTCTACGCGTGCTAACTTATGGTTAAGTTTACGAGGAACTGGTTAAACTGAAAACCATTTTGTTTGAATCAGTTCCCTTTTATAATGTTAAGTGGTTCACCCCCCCCCCCCCCTTCCACCGACGAATTGAACCCATCTCTCCCCCCACGCACGCCTTGACCACATGAAATGGTTTCCCAATGAAACGATTTACGAAAAACAACACTAGCCACCCCTCACGCACGCGTTTCTCCCCTCAAAGTTTACCCCCTGCCCCTCTGAAAGGGTGTCTAACTTATTTTCTTCTGCATATCGCGATCGATCGACTCTCACTTTCTCATTTATTGATTATTTCTATATAATCGTCAGCATCATTAAAGCGTCAGTTTATCATTTAATATCCTTGGCATATTTCAGTCTTTTTGTTTGTTTGTGTGTGTGTTTGTCTGTGTGTGTGTGCGTTTGTCAATGTAAGTGAGTCTCATATATGGGTCTTTGATGAAGTTAAGATTTTTTCTACATAGCTTGCATGCTAGATAGCATCTGAGCGTTTGTGAAATTGAATTGGACAGGCTGTGCCAGTCTAAACGATCGCCGCTTTTTTGGCTCGCGCCATTTCATAATCACTCACTGTTATCTGTTTTGCCATATTTTTACCGTCAAGCCTCCCAAGAACAGCCAATAACTAATTGAGCAAACTTTTAAAAGGCCGTGAAACGTATAACCGACGGTTTTGATGACCTTCGTTCAAAATAGGAGCTTGCAATTTCGCGCGTGAAAACATGTTATAATGAGGAGCTGTCTAAGCTGACACAAGATTTCACCAAAGAATATATGTCACGCTTCCGAAAGATAATGCAGGAAACTTTTCGCACATAAAAACAGACCGCCTGAACTGCCCGCATCGAGCTATGATGGACTTCGTCATAATTAACACCGACCCCAATCATCCACAAATTAGTCAACTGCTAGGCTTGACAATGGAAGATGAAGCATGCCAGTATTTTCAATTGAAGCCTGAAATTACCACGTATGACAAGGCCCTGCTAATTCGCCAAATAGAAGAAAAACCGGCGTTGCAGATTTCCAACGTCGAGAAGACTGGAGCCATCAATTCCTAAGTTGGTAATTTTGAAGAGTGATTTAATTAACCAACTGTGAACTGTTCAAGAAATGTCCTACCAGGATTTCTTTTTGATTTCAGTGGCACCAAAGACCATTCCAACAATACCTTTGTCACCCGCCAACTCTTTCAGTGATGAAAACAAAAACGGAGCCGGAACAATGGCCAAGAACAATTCCCAGTCGGCTTATTTTTGCCAGGTGGGTGAGCAAACATTTTTTCAAAAAACAGTTTTAAAAAATTCATTGGTTCCCCATATTCCTGACTGGACTTGATTAGATTCTCATGATGAACACAGAGGCGAAGTTGCACTTCGCCACAAGCAAAAATATGACCGATAACGCTACTGGGAAAATGTGAAAGATTAAAACTTTGAGTTTACATAATTTCTTAAGTGACTCACGCCAATTATGAGTCTTTATAATTGCTTAGTGACGCAAACCAATGATGACGCATTAACAGTACCAGTCAATTAAAAAAAAACTATTGAAAAAAAACTTACCAAGAAAATGCCTCGAGTTATAGAAGGAACAATTTTCAAATAGCATACGAAAAAGTTCATTGAAAACATCAGACCCTGCCCAGGTTCGAACCCTTATTTTGTTGCGGGTCTCCTTCCCTTCTACGCTACAGTCGCATGATACCTTGAAGCTAAAAGGCTATTTGTAATATAAAAGTCAGTGTAAATATCCTTAGCATTGGTTGTACTTAATAGCTGTTTTTTTTAATCTTATGCACACACTACAATAAAAGAACTCTTTCAAAATGAACACTAATATTTGCGAATTAGGTTGAAAAAAAAAGAGAATTCATACTTTCACATAAGCTTTGCTTGTGTAGAAAGACCCTTTTGATGATAAAGCTAAGCTCTAAGTATTAATCACATCATAAAAACTTTTTAGAAATGCTTGCCTGACCAAATTTATACACATTCTCTTGATTACATTCTCATGATTAAAACTCCTTGGATTCTCAACTCCTTGGATTAAAAAAACAATTATTGACAAAAAGCTTCTAGAAACATTGGAAACAACCAGCCAAGACGAACGCGGTACCAAATGGAATGGGAACGAACGGAGTCAAACACGAAAGAAAGAAGTAACCAAACATTGGCCGAGACGTCTTTTTGGTCCGATGACTGATAAACCGATCATTTGAAACGGAATTGACAGAAAAATCGACCCTCAGGAAAAGAACGAGCAAAACCCAAGAAGCCAATTTCGAACTAAACGTTATAAGAGACATGAGGGATTAAACGAGCAGGTGGTCAATGATACACCACACGAGAATCAAGTTCATTTTAAGTTAGGATGTGAGAAAAGCTGTTTACGGGAAAAAAGTTCTAGTTCCCGATTACAAGACACTTGCTTTCGCAAGTGTAATTAAAAATGTGGAACTTTGTTTGACACTGATAGTTTTTTTGAGCAAAAAATAACATTGCAACCCAACACCGATCATCTCTAGTCGGTTGTCAAAGTTCTCTCAATTCTTTAAACATAAACTTACGGTAATTTTGGATTCATCTTGTTTTAAGTTGTCCCAGTAGCAAATTGAAGTTTTGTTGTTGCATAAATCGAGACAACTTTTACAACGACTCTGGGGCTGTACTTGTAAGTTGGTGGCAACTCCGTAATACGTCGCATTACATTGGCTGCATTTTGTTTCTTCTGAATTCGTACTGAAAAGACATTTGGTACAATACTTTGGATCTTCGATGGGTTTCTTGATGTCACAATTACTGTTCTCGTTACAAGCGCATTTCTCCAAACATCTATCTCCCGCATACCCGAAGTCACAATCACACACGTCAGGCGCTGAACAAGCTCCGTGGGGTCCGCATTCGGGATCACACTGGGGCTCGCATAATTTAGTATTTTCATTTCTCTTGTACTTGTCTTTACACTGACACAGGTACCCAAGAGGACAAGCTTCTTTGTCTCGCTTGCAATCCTCGCAAACTTCTCGCTCTAAGTCGCAATCGTGGTGTCCATTTCGACACTCATTTTCATCGCTACACGACTGGTATCCCCACTGATGTCCCGACAGTCCGTCGAACTCACCGGGAAGCTGTCCAATCGGTGAGAAGCCTCCGTGACCTCCCGGATGTGAGGACTCGTCTCGTTCTTGGATGAAAGCCGAAATCACCGAATCACTCGTGCATCTACCACCTTCCGAATTGGGTCCATCTAAGTTACCGGCTAGACAAATACCTCGACCTCCGATTTCTGGGTTAGAACTCTGAAGTGAACAGTAACCACAGTGACGCATATTGACACAATCGATACATCGAGAGAATGACTCGCATGGTTTCGGACACTGGTCGGCCGATCCGCGGACAACCATGTCACATACTCCGTCCAAACACAAAACTGGCTCAAAAGTCGGAGATATGCACCTGTCTAGTCCAGTAGCCCAGAAGCAACTCCTCCAGCCCGAGTCAGATCCCCCGCGAGAGTCCAGACACGATCTGCAACAAATGGTAACGTTCTTAGTATCCAAAACTTTAGACTTAAAATTTCTCCAGCGACACTACAATATTTGAATGCAGTAATTCAAAAATTTAAAACACCATAAAATTATATCAGAACAATAACCAAGATAAAATTTATTTCTGGCAAGATAAAATTAATTGTTTCATTCAAATCAATCCATTTTAAGTGCTATTCATAACATGTGCTAAATTACTCACTTGCAGTCGAGGTACTCGGAACACCTCCTCGGACAAGTCTCTAGGGTGGTTGCTCCTCCAAACTTGGTATAGTCGCCCAGATTCTGTCTCACAATTCCAATCTGGCTGTAGTATTTCTGACAACTCCAGTCAAAAATTGGATTCGCATTGATCACTTGCTTAGAGCCCTCGTAATTTGACTCACTCCTTGCATTTTGTGTGAAAATACACTCTAATCTTTTGTCGTTGGATTCTTGCTGTCGATCTTGAATTGCCATGCACTGAGAGCACGTCGAAGCAACACACACATTGTGCTCCGGACAAAACTCTCGAGATGAATAGGTTGTGAAGTCATTATTTTCACAAGTCACCTGGAGCGAATTACACGACAGTCCTTTTGAAATACATCGCTGCATTTGACACTTTTTACACCAATGACAAGGTGAAGGTGCTTTTGAGAAAGGATCCGGGGCTAGACATTCAGTGCAACTCGTTAGTGCCTCGCAGGTCGGCTTCAAGTTCACTTTACTGTTCGCAATCGAAGAGTGACACGCGTTTGTCCCTCTAAGTGAATCACGGTTCGGCATACACTTTCGATTCCCTGGCTCGTAACGTTTGCAAGACTGGTCTTCAGAACAGTACATACACCCTGACACCTTGAAGCATCTGTCCATTGCAACTGAACTAGATTCGCGTCGTCCGGTGGAGGTAAAGCTTTTGGTACTTAACAAGTTGCAGATATCCAGAGGCATTAGTAAGCTAACGACTCTCGAAAGATAGCGACCGTTGAAACCCCCGAAAATGTAAATTTTGTTTCCAATAGCAACTGCGTCGTGACCGATGACAGGTTCCCACAAACCCAAGTTAACGAAACTATCACTCGGTAAATTTACACCCGGAATCATCCATGTATTACACTTCAGTTGGTAAATATACGTTTTGTTAGTAAAGTCATGATCATGCGTTCTTCCTCCTAGCACTACCATGTAATCATTGACGACCACAGATTTATGCAACATCATTTTTGGTGGTGTTCTTCCGTCTTTCGGTTTTATAATGGTCCAAACTGCTTTCCACTCAGACAAATCGGCACTCCGACTCTCAATAGTGACCAAAAATAACGTGCGACTTAGGTCTACTTTTTGAGATCCCCACGTATCATACAACATGCCTCCGTAAACGTAGAACGCTTCCGCGTCTCTGTAATATACAGTGGAATGGCAGTATATTCCTAGAGGGTAATCACCCTTAAGTTGTAGCGCTACGAATTTACTAGTGTCCACGTGATATAGAATAGTCATATTGTTGTATCCTTCGTCTGGCGAGTATCCACCGATGATCAAAAGTATGCTTTGTTCGGAGCTTTTCGGAAGTTTGGCCGCGGTCATCGTGTGTCCCACTAACTTCGGAACCCAATTGGGAACCTCGACGTAATTCATCGACATCGAGGAGTCTGTGATTGAGCTAGATCCGACATCTGCCAAATATTGTACTTGCATGCTTCCACTGATTGACAGCCCGCTACCAAATCCTCCGTAAATAAAAACAGCATTGACTTTTTTGTTCATACTACTTTCTGCACTGAGTACCGATTTCTCCTCTACAATAGCAGCCGCAGAAAGTGAGTAGTGTATATTGTTGTGCAGTCCAGCGTTGGTGAAGAAATCTAAAGTTCTTTCAATTGTGTTGAAGGTCATTATTCTTGGCGGGGACGTTGGTGACTTAGCGAGATTCCCGCCAATTATGAAGATCTGGTTAGACAGCGCGACCATGCTATGACCACTTCTGGCTTTCTCAGAGTTTCCTTCGGCGTCTTCCAAAAGATCATCATACTCCAAGTTATACATCGCAAACTTGTCTGAAGTTTTGACTTCAAACCTTCGGATTTCTGGAGGTTCTTTGATTTCTTCTGTACAATTTGAGCCAAAGTAAGTCGGCCAACAGTCGCACAATCCACTAGGCAGGCATATTTTGCCATTAGCGCATGGGCGTCCAGCAGAATTATCACACAATGGAACTCTACAAAGATGACCTCCCCAACCATCAGCACATGTACATATTGAACTTCCAGACGCACTTGAGCCTGAGGTCTCTTTGAAGTGTTTCTTATCAGGGCAAGGAGCAGTCAATACTGTGTGTTCGGCTTCGAAGAACTGCAATGCATTGGTACCAGTACCCTCACGCTTCTTTGTATTGAAGACAATAGTCATCACTCCCGATTTAGCAATAACTACACGCTCCGGAGTTTGATCAGAGGTCGTTCGACCACAAAAAGATCCGAGGAGTCGAGAGGAACTCGCCGAAACAGACGACGAAGGTCGTGAGGATGGTGAGTCGTCAAGAGATGACGAGTCACCATTGATGCCGTGAACGTTACTTGGTTCACCGTCATACACATTCACAAATTGGTAATTGCAGAGAACGTTAATTCGTGTTATTTTCAGAACCATCCACGGAGTAAAAGAAGGTTGTTTGTCTTGCAATCCAGATTGTTTGCTGTGTGTAATTTTCCAAATACAAGAAGACATATTTTTCGCATTTGTTATTTCGCTTCCACCTTTGGATCCGAGGTAAATTATACCCTGGGTATTTGTCAACACTGCTTGACCGCTAGAGCATCCTTTATAACAAATTCCTCCATTTCTCGGATCTCCGTAATAGCTCTCCGCACATTTTTCGCAGTTCCGACCGATAGTGTTATTCACACACGTACACTCACCGCTTGCGTCACATCCAACTCCATGTCCGTTACACTCGCACGGTTGACACACCGTAGCATACTTGTCGCTTTTCTCACTTTTGAAGTACATTTCGTCGCATTGGTCACATCTGGATCCTTTGTATCCAGTTTCGCACTGTCCACACCGTCCCACGCTTGTGCAATTTGCCCGCTTGTTGCACCCGCAATCTCTGTTGCAGTCCTTCCCTGTGTACCCTTGAAAGCACTTACATTTGTAGCTTTGATCCACTTCGACACACACGCCGTGAATACAAAGAGGATCGCACGTCTCTTCACAAGAAGTTCCATCTTTACTCAAAGTTGTACCGGTTGGACATCTGCATTCATAATCTTCAGCGTTCTCTTCGCTTCTCTCACATGAAAATGGTTTATCACAGCCAGTTTTCAAACAATTCTCAACTGGACACGCATTGTACGTATAATTCCAAACATTTTTCAACCTTGGGAGACGTGCACGACAGTACGCGTTCTGGTTCGAATCGCCAGGCAAGAAGTTTCCCGAAACACAAACACCACTTGTGTCGCTGTAACAATATCCACATCCAAACTGAGCAACACAGTCCGCGCACGTGGTATGCTCGCTGCAGCTTTTACATAGCTGCTTCGATTGATGATCTCCGAGACTCGAGTCCACCCAGGACTTGCAGGATCCGTATGGGAACGATGTCAGGTACGATTGGAAAGGGAAACAAACGGGAGGGTCGTCACACCACGCACAGTGGGATGAGGGGTCTTTTTTACTCGTGCAATCCCCGCATGTTTTGCGTTCGGTGCACGGGTTGTGACATTGGTCTGCTCTCGTTGGGTTTTCACCTGCAATAGAGCTATCAACAGGTGGCTTCTCAATGCATCTCGGATGTTCGCCCTTTATCAACACAGCATCTTGTTGCCACCAAATACACTGTTGGTTATTTTCCATGTCAACACAAGACGTACAAGATGTGAAGTCGGAACAATTCACACAATGTTCCGGAGCGATAACTAAGGTTTTACTTGTTCCAGATTTATGATAACACTGTGCATCCACTGGTCTATCACTCGAAGAGTACCAGCCACAAGCCGGGTTCCGAAGACATGCAAAACAGGATTTCTGCGACTCGCACTCTTCTTGGGTCCACAAAACAGCCGGGAAGATGTAGGAACTAGGAATCAGTTCAAACTTTTTGTCTTTTTTCCCTATTATCCTAAGACCCATTGTGAAACCTGAACGTTGGCCTTCGATTTCTAGGGGCTTTAGTTTGTACTCATAATTAATTTTCACGTCTGAGTAAGCTTCGATCGCTTTTGTTAGGCACTCCACGTCCTCTGATGAGTCACCGATACATTGAGTTGATGCCGAGTAACCTTGTTCGTTCGAAATTTCAAAAGCCGACTTCAGAGCTCGAGTTGTCACCACATCCAGCTGGAATTTCTCGTCTCTTTGTTTAGTTTGAAAAGAAACGTTGAACGAAGTGCTGTAAACTATTACGTCTTCTTGGTTTCCTTCGTTTTTCACACTGCCCCATATATCTTTAGGAAGTCGCAGTAACCTCTCAGCCATAAATTTTTGGTATCTTTCGCTGTCGGTCAGAAAGTAAACGCCGTGAGGTAAATGCTCGTTCTGAGGGTATTGCCGCTCCTCCAGAATAATTCCTCTGAAGTTTTCCGCTTTCTGACAGGAGTCGAATGAATCTATGAAGGGAACTTGGTTAGTCATCGGATCTTTGTTCATCTTCAGGTATCCATTCCACTGTTCAATTTCGGCATCGTTGATGCACGCCGCTATTTCGTTTTTGGGCATGCACTTCCGTGTGTGGGCGCACCATCCGCAGCTCACCTGGTTGACCTGCCCTGAGCCCCATAAAGCACAAGATTGACAGTCTGTCAGAGCAGAACAGACGCCTGGACAGTAGCTCCTCAGGAAGTTGTCTTCAGATCCACAAATTTGCTACAGAAAATCATTCTATGAGTTATCTTCAAAATTTTTAGTATGAGCATCAAAAAACCATGAGAATATGGAGAAAATGCATATTTTAGCTAAGCTTGTAACATAGAGGTCAACATATTGTCTCAAGAAACAAAACCGTAGCCAACAGACAGTTGGAAACGTGTCAAAGAGTAAGGAAAGAGAACATAAAAGCGTAAGGAACAGTAGCGGATTTAGAGGGGGGTGAGGCGCGTAAAAATTTGTCAAATTAGGGTCTTTGTAGTGTTTTGGGAGAGCTCTTATATTCAATTTGGTCGACCTAAAAACAAAAATAGTCGAAAAAATTTTCAAATTTTTCTTTAAATCCGCCCCCCCCCCTCGAGAAATTCCTAGATCCGCGCCTGGTAAGGAACATTGAGAAATCCAATTTCAAACCCCGAAAAAACAAGATTCGAGCGTGAAAAATTAGCGTGGTCATATTTGAGAAATAAACCAAAAAACAACTAAAAGGAAAAAGTTTCAGAAAAGCCTAGCAACTCTCCTATATAGGTCACTTCACAAGCACACGCACTCACGCAGTAAAATAAACCATTTAGAAACTAAACCTAAATACCTTCAGACGATAACCAGAAAATCGAAAAATCATTGGCAAAAATAAGCGCAAAATTTGATCATTATATATATACAATGGTTGGAAACCAGATATTACATTTAAAGGGGATGGAGTTGATCGTTTGAGCAGGAAAAACAACGAAAGCCAAATTCGGACAAAGAATCAGACGAAGACTAATAAGCCAAAAAACAGAGCCAACAGATGGCTGGAAAAGTCTAAAAGAACAAGGAAACCAAAAAAAGTAGACTGAAATTTTTGAACATTTGCAACTTTCGATTTCTGAAAAAAGTACATCTTCAAAAGAAATCGAACCAGTAAAAATCAAAAAAGGCTGGGATGAAATTTAGAACCTTTCCAGAAAAAAAAAACAACCAACAGACATTTGGAGAAGAGTCAATACTGACCTAATTTTTGGAAAATCTTAACTTATGAAAATTACGAATTTCAAAAAAAAAGTTGGCCTCAAAACTCTTTGAATTTCTAGAACAATTTATGGTTGACACTTTCTTGATAAAATAAACCCAAATTGAGAAGACTGGATCATGCGTTAATGATTTTTTATTTCGCTGAGAAATCGGAAAATCAAATTCCGTTTTCGAAACTAGAAGTCGATCACGTTTTTTGTGATCTTTACACTTTTTGCTGTTCGAGAGTGGAGTTTGCCTTCCTTTTAACAAAGGAAGTAAATGAGCTCTACTTTAAAAAACCAAAAGTACAACAGCGAAAAATCGAATTTGAATAAGACATATAAAAGAAAAAGAACTACAACCTTATATATATATATATATGACAAACAATTCGTTCTTTTACACTTAAAACCGAATACATTCTCAGCGGGAAAAAAAACAGCTAACCATTACAGATCGCGGTAGCTGCTATATGAAACATCAATTACCATAATTAAGAGATCAGTACAAAAAAGAAATCACCATCGGACTGTGAAAAGAAATCGTTTTAAAACTTACACACCGGCGGGGGGCACCACGCGACAAAATTGAAAAGTTGCGAACAGGTTAAAAAGATACAGGGTAAAAACAAGGCAAAGAAAGTGCAAAGAAAGTGCAAAGACGCTAATTGCAAATCTAAAACTTTACACAGCAATTCTTTTTTGGCAGCAACTATAACGACCTGAGCAGAACATCATTTATATGAAAAATATACCTTTGGATTTGAGTTTCTGTGTAGACAACTATCGATTCCCATTCCCTTCTTGTTTCTGCACCAAGCACACTCAGGGTGACCTAGACACTCCTGCTCGTTGTTCACTTTCGTACAGGGACTCCCACTTCCACCAGATGAGGTATCCGAGGGCACCACCAGTTCCGACACCTGCCAAAAATGGTGACTCATAATTCAGAAAGAAATTATTTCTCCGGCTCTTCTATCGTTTACCCACAAATATTTTTCATTTAACTTTTTTTCACGTTGTCTAATTGTCATGTAAAATAATTACCAAAAAACGAACAAACTTTGTTGCCTTTATAGATACAAGTTCGTAAAAAGATTGGTCAAATAATTAAAAAGATAAAATCGGGTTTTTATCTGGTGAGTGTGGGACGGTAGAAGAGCCATTTGACTAAATTAAAAACAACACTGAGCCACTTACATAGTTTAAATACCAAATGCAGCGCATGATATTAACATCACCTAGGGCAATGCAAAACTGCTTTCTCCTCTTCAAAAAATCCTCTCGATAATTTTATTAAGGTTTTTAAAAACAATTTCGTATATAACCTTCCGACGAGGGGGGGGGGAGGGAAGGGAACACCAACATGACTTGGTCATGAGCTAACAACTTGAAAAAATGCTCAATGATGTAGGCATTTATAACACTAATGAACCTGGTTAGTGATCAAAAAGGCTCATAAGAGATTTCCAAGAAAACTAATGAATTGACCAGAAATTTTGATCAGCTGCAGATAAGGGCTGGTTTTTGAAGAAACAAACATCTAAACAAGCCCCACATTTATAAATTAAGGGGTTAAAGGGTTTACTTTCACGTCTTTTCCTCAGTTATTGTGTGTTGATTGAATTGCTCAAAAATAATTCCTTTCTAAATTCCCTTGAGTTAATCAAACGCCACTTTAAAAATTACTAAAGTCGCAGCAGGAATTTTGAACTTTGATTGAGCTAAGATAAAATAAATGTCAAGTGAGACAATTTTTTTCTTTCGGTTGAAAAATTCAGTGTTAACGTCAACGGCGACCAAACAAGTCACCCTACTCGCGCACAACGAAAATTTGCATACTTTAAACTATAGCACTGATTACAACGAACGCAGAGAGAAATTGGAACTTTCCCAAAAAAAAAAAAAAAAAAAAAAAAAAAAAACATTTTTTTCTCAAACAGCTCAAATTTTACCATAATTGATTTTTTGTTCTGCAAACTCTTTTCAAGTTTATGAAATATGGAGAAGCTGATTTTTTCTGTACTCCTAGGTTATAAAAGATGTATATTGAAATCCACTGAGAGCAAATAATTTCGATTTTTTATTCAGGAAAATTCCAATTGGTATGATAACGTAACATCGATTTTACTAACAATATGAATTAACTGACTGCATTTAAGCCACTGGCATCCCATACAGTAACATTACATAACATTACGTAATATTACGACATAACAACGCGGTATACTGATTTTACTGGGTTGAGTTTACTGGTCACTTCAGACTTACCTGGTCCTCGTCACTGTTAGATCGGAAGTGGTTTCGCACGAAAACGGGTTCCACTCCCGGGTTAAACATCTGCAAGGTTGGATTAGTAAAAGATTTATTTATACAGGGTATATTCAGCGCTTAAAACATTAAAAATCCAATCAATTTCCGATTTCACTTTCACCCAAATTTGAAATTTCAATTTTGAAAACTTTTTGAAGGTAGTAATAATGCAATGAAATTTTACTGGGTGAACAATATAATTAGTCTGAGCATACTTAATCTTTCCACCTTTAATGAAAAATTGCGAACTTATCCATAAAAAGCATGCATAAGTAATATGAAAATGGAAACTTTAAAACGTGGGGTGGGGGTTGAGCTTTATGCAATAGGGCTAATTGCAATAGCCGATGTTTCAATTACTTCCTTATTTAGCTTTACATCTACTGAATAATTTTTGTCGGAAGAATTTCTTGATTGTAAGTGAGGATGAACGTATGAGAACAGTTTGAGTTATGTTTTTCATTTTTCAGTTGAATTAAAATAGACAATTTGTATTTCGAGAGTTAAGAACATGATAGAATTTTTCGACTCACGATTAATAAACATTCATTTCATCTGCTCTAGCATAAACGTAAAATGATATGATCATCTGACATGACAAGCGGTGTCTTGCAATTTAGGAGGGGTTGATCAATACACTATATATTTTATATTTTCTCAAATATTCTTCGATTTTTTTAAACATTGATCAACTTCAATTTTCATTCAAACATTTTGATTTTTCTGCGTAATTATAATTATCAAATCGCAGACATAATCAAGGAACCATTTTTTTACCTGGACGTTGCACAGAGCTTCGTTATTGTACATGATTTTGATTAAGATCGATTTGATATCGAGAAATTAGTACCAGTTATTCGAAAACGTCAACAATTCGCCATCTGACAATGTTTACTTGCTTACAAATCTTACATGCAAAGGTCATTTTGGCGCCTTATTTCCCAAAACCCCAATGATATCATTTGCATCAAACAATGATTCAAAATTTGTCTTAACATCTATAACTAAACAAATGAGTTTTGTCGTAAAGAACAGTCAAAACAAACAAAATTTGATCAAATTGAGAGTACCTTGAATGCATACATATCTCCTAAAGGAGTCCCGTCGAATCCTCCGATCACCAGAAGTACATTTTCAGTCAAATTCAACATCATGTGACCATATCGCTTGCTCGGAGGTCTCGACTGAATCGACAAATCTAAACAGACTAGCTCAATTAACCCAAATTAAACCAAATTTTTAAATTTAAATACTGAGAAGCGTGCATGTTTATTCCTCTCCATTTTCAAACAGCTCCGTTAGGTGAAGGTTATTTTTGATTCTTTCACATGAACACCCAAAAGACACACAAGACTTCTGATTATAATTAATATATGACGATAAAGCAATAGAACGATAACACACCAAACCATTGATACGTCTATCAAGCAACAACCTAAAATCCTTCCTTCTTAGACAAAAAAAAAAGATAATTTCACAAAAAAATTACTTTTCAAAAAATTGTCAAATATTTTATTTTTTTTTTCAAACTATGCGCATCGTTTCTGTTTCCAAGTGCGGAATAAACCAAAGCATGGGCTTAGTATTGCTTCCATTCTGCACCCAATTACAGCGAAAAGGTGCGCGTAGGAGTTTGGATGAATAAAAGAAAAAAGAACTAGTTGCTTGCCATTTCACTTCGCTTATTTTACCATTGCATGCATGTGTGTTTTAACAGAGAATAATATCGTGGGATGAAAACAGTTTTCATAGGTGCATTTTCTTCAGGCGCATTGGTGGTATATACTCCTTTTTTCTGTGCATGGCATTTGCAACTCAAATGCGAATTGCGTAACAAATCGCGGAAGCTTAGGTAACTCTAATCCTTTTCTCTTCTAAATAGTCCTTCTTTTTTTTAACTAACGGTCCCGTCTATACACCTATTCAATCGATGCTTTAAAACGTGGCATATTTTTGAACTCGGGACAAATTATTCATCACACGGCGCCTCATTTTCTTGAAGATTTCTCGCGTAGCTGTCACTTGACTTGTCAAATTCTTAGTCATCAATCAAATTTAATTTTCTAGCCAAATTCTGATCATTTTCTACTTATTTTTTACATTTTTTTTTCTTTGATTCAAACAAAAAAAGCTAGAAAATCTAACACTTATATATACGTATCAGCTAAGCAATCATCAGTAGCTCAATCGATCTTTAGCTTAACAAAACCTTCTGATTAACTCAGTCCATTTTTAAACATGATATTCAAACTGATATTCAGATTTGGCGTATGACGTAACATAAAACGTGACGTAACAATAGGTTCCCATCACCTTCCTTCACAATCACAAACAATGGACTCCAATATACATGATCCATCACCTTTCACGTACATGTATTAATCAAAACCAGGGGTGGCGCAATTAATCATTCAATTTTAATCAGTAAATATCTCGATTAATTTTCTCGCCATGAGGTCGACAGTTCAGAAAAGTTGGTAGTAGGGGTATTGAAGGGAAGAGTTTTTCACGTGTAAGTAAATTTTACACCACCTGTACATGTTTCTGGTAATTTTAGACCAATAAACCGAACTGCCTTGAAGCCGAAAAATATCATCATAATGGTTTGAAGATTAATTTGTCTGAATTGAGCCCCTAAATTGGCGTTTTTAAATATAACATCAATCAAAAGGTCTCCGGTTGGTACAACAAAAAATGTTTCGGCTTCAAAACAGATATGCTTGATGGTTATTGCCATTACATGTACAGAACATTACACCTTATTCGGTACAGTTTTACGATTTGCACAAGTATCTTACGGTCGTAGAGTCCCGTCAGGGCTCTCTGGTCATTCAAACTCAGAGGGGGACCCCTGTCTTCTAAATGAACATTATGATAAGCAAACGCGACAGAATTCAACAACAGTGCAATACACTAAGTCACAAAACAGTGCCAGAAAAAGAATCGATCATTCCGATGATTGAACAAACAATTCTGGAGTTGAGATAAAAAGGGTTTTGAGTTTAGAATTTAAAGTTTGAATTTAGAAGTTTTTGTAGCCAAAAGTTACTTCTTTCAACCATCAGCAAGACCGACTTTCTTGTCTCCAGAATTCCATCTCTTTACTTAATTTAAGCATTAGATTAAGGTCATAAACGGTTATAAAAAAATTGTGCGTTATTTTTAGTGACTAAGAACATATTGGCGCTTGATCTGAGACTTTTTTGTGACCAGTGTAGAAAATAAGCGAGGCCATGCAAGCTCGATGACCTGAAAAGAAAGTTGACCTTAGAAAGTCATACGGCGTAACAAAAAATACACGTCTATATTCAAGAACACGAGTGAAAGTTAGCTTTCATAATCACATTTTGAGTCTTATATCACTTATTCCGCCCATATTCCAAATATCTGTTTCATTGACAGAAGTGCGGATAAAGAAAAACACACTTTCTCTCTTTAACCGCCATTCATTGCGTTTGATTTTTATTTTAACTTGACCTAAAAAGTCTAGATTGAAAGTCAAACAAACAGGACCATGCAAATACCAAACATATCACACAGTTAAACAAAGGCCGATGAAAAACTTGCAAACTTAAACGGCTGATTTTATTCTTTCACTGAATATTTTTAACTGATTAGAATAAATTAGGAGCACATTATGGTAATGAATTGATTTTAATGCCAAAAAGGGAGCACACACAAAACATTGATAGTTTAAAGGACATTAAAAAGCGAATTCACTCATTCATATTTTCCAATGTTTCAATGTTCAAGACAAAAGATACACATCAATTTTTAATTTCTATATCTTTTCATAGATTGCAGTTACTAAAAATTTAATTTAATGACATCTGTCAGCATGATTTTTTAAAGCAATTTTACCATTAAATAGACTTTTATGTCTAACATTGAGACATTAAACAACCAATAAGAAAAAAAACGGTGAACAAACGTGATCAAAACAAGCCACGTCAAATTTTGAGCAAAAAGAACGTAAAATATTGAAGATGGATCGAATAGAATGAAGCGTTTAAAATAGGTGGGCTGTGGTAATAATCGCAATAGGTGTTGCTTTGTTATGCTTGAGAGATGATTATTTGAATGTTAACTCATAAAAGTCAATGCCATAACGTGTTGAAGGCATGAGTGCCTTTGCAATATTTTTTCACATACCAATGGGTGAAATATCCGCAAATTTCGATTTTGCGTCCTCGAAGGCATAGACTGAAAAGAATAACTTTTATGCTACTTTTATACTACCTTCAGGGGATTTGTATGCGCATCATATGCGATTCCAACATGGTACCAATTTTTTTTACCAGAGCTTCAAATTTACTTGATGACTCATGTTCAAAAGCAAAAAGAATACATGGAAACTCTTTTGATTTTGGTTTAGGTAGAGATATGTGGTTTCCTGGTAATTTACACAAAATGAATTGAAGGGAAAAGGCTTCAAATCTTCTTTAAATTGTATGCAGCAGTGCTGGAAACAATCAATGCGACACTCCAAATCAAACCAAACAATAGAAAAATGAGCTACACCCGAAAACAGTCCATCAGCACCAAGTCATAATTAAGTTCAATACTGAAGATCTCTTGAATCAAATCTGCTAATTAAGTTCAAAACAATCCTTCGAAACAAACCGATGCTATCAACACTACTCAGATTAAATTGGTTGGATGAAATAAAAACTCATCTCCAACTATTTGTACCCACTTGAATTATCTCTTATCATTTCCTCCCGCAATAAGTCTTTGATGTCCATGATCAAAAACTTGATTCGCTCATTTGCTGCAACGCAAAATTCAGTCAACATTAATTAACAATTAACTGATTCGAACATATAACCCAACTAAAAATAAAAAGAAGTACACTTCGCGAAACATTCCCGCATGTTAGAAACATCTATGCGCTGAAAAAAAAACATAAAAAAAAGTACATAAACGACAGTCAGGTCAAATTATTGCGCAACAATTATTCAATCAAAAATTACTCTGCAGTGGTATTACATGTACCTTTGTCTGAGGGCGAAAGATTAGATTTATCGGTCCACAAAACACAGTCCAAGTGTAGAAAGTAGAGTTCATTTCCATAGCACATGTCATCAGCTCCGCGGTCTCTCTTTCGTTTGTGCGAGTAGGCCGTCCCCCCTGAAACAGATATGCAGACATGTTAAGTAAATAGAAAAATAGAAGTGTTGGTCCTGCACTGAGCAGGACTGGGGGCAAAAAAGTAGAAAGCGACCACTGAACAACACCCCATTCGCAAACATTCGTCTCAAAGTTCGACTTTTATTTCTAAATATTGTCTGGTAATTGAACATATGAGACCACTTTCAAGAGGACCAGTTTCGCCCAGTATTCTAAATAAAGAAAAGTCTGCGAATTGTGTCAACTTAATGGTTGGATTCAGCTATGCTACCTGCCATTAGCATTATTAATAAACCGAGTCAAAGAGTTATTTTTATATGTTTTACACACAACCATTTTAACTACTTTCTCGGCCCAAAAACAGCGGCCCAAAAACAGCTCTGCCAACACAAGTGGAAAATGCCAAACACAGCTCCAAAAAAGACAAAAGAAAAAAGCGACAAAATGTCAGATATTTTCAAAATTTAAAAAAATGATACTGCGGTTTTCGAATCCAGGCCTTCGGAGCTACAGTAACGTTCACTCAATATATTCTTAGTAATCAGGCAATAAATTACAAGCTTTCATAAAAACTATAGCTGGATCATATACTGTACAACTAACGTATAAACTTTGCGCAAGCTTTGGTTGGAAAAAGTGAAGTGACCGTATAACCACTACCAAACCAAACAAAGAACAAATCAACCAGGGCGGATTTAGGGGGGAGGGGGCGGACTCTCCCTCCCCTCCGAGATTCGACCCCCTGCCGACCCAAAAGGTCCCCTTTTGTAATATTTTGAGATATCCACTTTTGGCTGACTGGCCTTAAAAATTTTCTAAAGGCGCCTTTGGCGCCAACATATAATAATTTTGAGGGGAAATTTTGGCTGCAGCGCAGAAAATTTTACCAAAACAGGGTCTTTTTAGTGCTTTTGGAGAGCTCGGAAATTCACTTTGGTCGACCTTAAAAAAAAGATCGAAAATTTTTTTGAAAATCCTCCCAATTCCCCCCCCCCCCCCTCGAAGAAATCCTGGATCCGCCACTGAAAGCAACTGAAAATTTAGCCCCTTGTATATCTATATCAGTCTAAAAAGCAAAAATTATCAACTTGGTTTTTCTCCTCAATTTTTGGGAAAAACTTAAGCCTGTGCGAATTTTACATAAAGGCTTGTAGGATTATTATTGTAGGAATATTCTCGAACAAAAATTCTATCCCAAAGTTACGACACAATGGCGAAGCTGAACTTCTCAAATAAGCAACAAACACAACATAGCTTTAAAATAGGCAAAAAATACTAACGAGTTTTGAGAATCATCTACCCTTTCCGGGAATCAAACCACAGACATCGTGCAACCAACTAGCTGAACGCACGACTAAGACTACTTCGATACACCTATCTTTTGAACCTGAGCGATCTTTATATGAAACCTTGTAGAAAAATTGGTAGAAAAAATCTTGAACTATTCTCGCCCTAACATTGCGACACAGAGATGAAGCTGCTTTTCAGAAACACAAGATGGAAAACACCATCCAGTTGCTTTGAAAAGATAAAACAAAGAAAGGGGCAAGAAAAACTATTAATCACACATTCGAAAAAACTTCCCTCTTTGTGAATCCAACCACAAGCATCAGGCATGCAACTAGACTGCCGTAAACAACAGAGCTACTAACATTTGAAGTGCCAAAACACTAGTTACTGAAAATCCGGAGAGCACAGGCTTTTAAACGGCCAATACTGTGTGCCCCTGGTTAAGAATTCTATTGAACTTATTAATATTTTCTGGGCTATATAATGCTGCCTCACCCTCAAGCGACAAGCACAGATCATGGTGGGCCTCAAACATCGACCTTTTGATTGAGAAACGGAGACGTAATCACTTCAGCACCGCTACAAAATGGGTAAAATCTTTTGATCTTTTTTGATCGAACACGTCGAATTAGAGAAAATTGTATCAACCTGTTTTTTTTGGAGGCGAGCTTCAATATAAATCAAAGGTCGACATAGTTAAAATTTAAAAAGTGGGGATGAAATTATGGACCTTTCCTGGAAAAAAAACAGCCAACTTACAGGCTATGTTGGAAAAGATTCAATGAACACAAGTAAACAGAAAACAATACTGACGTAACTTTTGAAAAAAAAAATGGTTCAGAACTGATATTTATTACTTGACAATCTGCTCACCAAAAATGACCATGTAGTTTCCGAGCACTGTGGCAGTGTGGTAAGCCATACTGGGGGGTCTGGCAGCCTCCGTCTGATGTCCAGTGGCCCACTCAGACAGGAAATTCTGCTCTGTGTTGAACACGAACAGATTGTTTCTCCTCTCAGATGCCCTGGAAATAAAACAAACTAAGAATATTCATTCGAAGCAGTTACTGTCACTTAGTATGCTTATTAAAAAAAACAATTAATTTATTTATTGCAAGATATTTTACCTTTAAATCAAGTGAACAAAAAGGGAGCGCGAATTTTAATTTCCATGTCGAAAAGCTCAATTTGTAAAATTAATTTCAAAAATCCAGCTTCAGTCAAAAATCCGGAGCAAAAGACGAAAAAGAGCATATTTTAAGACTTTGCTAAAAAAAATTAAATTAGTCATCAATCAATTAGAGGCACTAAAGTCCGTTTTGAAAACTTAACAAAGACCAGGCTTTCTTTGAAACAAATTCCCTCACAACCATGAGCTCTAGCATTTGGCAAATGTTTACTCTCAGCAACAAGATCACATCCTTAATTCGCCCAACTCCCTGATTGATATAAAACCAAAATGTAGTCAAAATTTTCACAGAAATTAAAAGAGTTCCGACAAATTTCAAATCATTTTGTGGCCATAACCGTAATTCACCAGCAAAAAAAATATCGCAAAACTCATGATAGATATTCACGCCCAGCAAAAAGATCACCAGTCCCGTAAATATGTTTAAAAAAAACTCACTCGACCGATATGGGTGTGAAGCCTCCAAAGATGAAGAGAGATCTGTATCTCTCCACGTATACTGTAGAGTGGCCCACCAACTGAAGTACAGATGCCTTCAGTCCATTCACTCTAACATTGAACTTCCACCTCTTGTCGTTGTCACACCAATCCAAAATGTGCACTTCGTCATTGTATGAGTAATCACTCCTGCGCCCTACAAAAGGTTGTAGGTATGTTTTGGACTCATTGAAGACTCAAAAAAAGGTTTTTTTTATTGCTCCGGCTACTATTTCAAAAACTCGTACGGTATCATAAAGAAGCTCTTTTAATCGTAGATTCGAATAACGACAGAACGCTGTGTCGCTAAAAAGTCTGAAATTTTCCGTTGTTCGAACTAAATGACATTAAACTTAAAAAGAGATTGAGCGATCAATTAAATTATACTACAAATTTGAGGAAATTTACAAATAAACCTCTCATTCTTGCAGTTTTTGACCACAATCGTTTACAAAAAAAAATAAAAGTTTATTTTCAATTTTTGAAACAAGTTTTTCCTTATGAGATTATTTACTAGCATCATTTTGGTTGTAACATGTTGTGCTACTAACACGGCGCCCAGTAATACTTATTCAATTGTGAATTCGAAAAACCTAACCCAGATGCAAAACGGAGCTTCGCGCCACTTGCGATACAACATAAAATTAGCAGTGCAAGCTGGCAGACAGAAAAAGAAAGCCACAAAGTCAAAAAATTCAAAAAACCACAACTTAACAAAAGTTTTAAATTTTGTCAGGAATCATGTTCTATGTGCGGCAAATGTGTTCAGTTAGTAAATTACGTAGTAGAGAAAAACTCACCACCGACAATGTATATCAGACATTTGCCGACCAAGTTTGCCGTATGCCACGCAACATCGGGACCCTTGTTTGGCAACATCCTCCAAATATTGTCACCTGGATAAAAATCATTGTTCCCACATCTCAAGTTCAATAAAACTTTATAAATTGCAGAATAACTTTAACTCACCTGTGTTGAAATAGAAAATTTCTTTTGAATGTTCACTCGGATTATCACCGCGACCACCTATTATGACCAAATCATGATTCCCGTTGACAGCCACAGCAGTCATTGTGTGTCCCATAGTAGGTGGAGGTTTCAACCCATTGTGAGCACCAAATTCCACAGAGCGCCACTGATTTTGAGAGAAATCATAAATGAGAAACTCATCCATGATTGAGCTCAGATTGAAGCCTCCGAAGACATATATTGCACCTTCGCTGGGATGCGCATCCGATTTGACGTAGACTGATGCTGATGACATCCGGCCAGTGAACTCCCATGGCTTGTGTGATTGGAGTCTGTACCAAATGTCTTCGCCTCCTTCTTTCAAGTTCAGGGAGCAAGTTTCTCCGATGTTTCCACTATTGCACTTGCAAAACTGTCTAGATTGGCCAAACTTCTAAACAAATTGGAGACATTCATAAAAAGAAATAAAAGTTTACAATAAAAAACTAGAAATCGGTGTCTTACATCGAAGGTTCTTGCACATTCTCCTTGTGCTTTATGCGCCCAACACTTCTCGGCGCATTGTCGAAAACTACAATCTTTGCCAACATACACAGGATATTGTTGACACTGACACTTGTAGCCTCCAGACTCCACTGGTTTACACTGCCCGTGACCAGAACAGTTGTTAGGACATTTATTAATTGAATAAGTTGCATTGAATCCCTTGAGGAAAAAGTTCACGTCCGTAAACATGTGAATGTGTAACTGAAACATAAATAATTTTAACTGCGCTCTGAAAAAATGTCTCCGAAATATCAAAAACATACTTTTCCGCTGTCCGAGGTCAGCGTGATATTTTCACGAAGGCCGCTGAGAGCACCAATTAGGCGAAAATTTCCAAGTCGGTCAACTTCCTGAACAAAAACGTTATCATAGCCACATTCTGTCTCAAGTTGAGTAACCTGCACCGACACCGAAGCACCGCGTAATGAAGTTTCATTTCTTTCTATTAGCCATTCACAATGCGCAGAATTAATTGCTTCGTCTCCATCAGTGATATTACCAGAGGCCCCCTCTTCGGAGAGAACAATCCGCACAGGGCCGTCATCTCGACAATTTTTGGATTTGACATACTGTGCGTTGACAATTAGTAGAATTAATAAATTGCATTTGGGAAATAACATTATGGACCGCCACAGACTATTTACATTTTCGTCTAAAATTGGAATAAAATTATTCATCAAATTTTGGTTGATGAATTTAAGTTAATTCACTTTAACTGAATTTAACTTTATTCATCAACTCATTATTCAGTTGAATGTAAAATTTACATTAGCTAAAAGAAAAATTCGCCTTCTCAAATAAACCCAAAATTACCTTAGTTAAATAGAAATTGAGCCCGTTACCAAATCATCGTCATATTAACTCAATCTTCGATTATTTCGCCTTAAAACCAATATCCCCTAGAATAAGAAATTCATCAATTCAATTCATTCAACAGTTTACATCAAAATATCCAGCCGAAAACTAACTTTTGACGAGTTCGATTAAGTAAACAAACAAGCTCTCTGCAAAAATATATTATGATCTTTCTGACAAAAAGGATTACAGAAAAATCATCTTTTTAAAACCTAAATTACAAAAGAGTCCCTTCAGTTTAGTTACGTTAAGTGCACAAGCTGGATAGAGCCATACCATATAAAAATGCATATACATATATCAGAAAACTGTATCATTTTATCAATGAGGTCATAAATCAGCATTAAATGCTTCGTCGTAATGTTAATTTATCTTAGCCGTCCTTCCTCTACAGTAGCGCTAATGGAGTTGTCAATCAAATGAAATTTGAGCAGCTATCTGCTCCCCCTGATACAAAGTATAGAGCTCCTCAGGAGCGCGAGGCTTATTTTAGTTCTTATACTGTTTATCGATTCTGGAGAGCTTTCTTGTCTTTTTTCACGTAGTTTTTCGGCTAATTGCTGCATCGTCCGCGTGGCTGTTGAAGCAGCGCCATCGGTCCGTCCTAAAATTAGCTGGCAGAAGCTACTCAGCTCTAAGTTTATAATTCTTAGTTGATATTTGGAGGTTCATGAGGTTGGCGAAAGCTTCTCTAACCGCGTTCATGAGGTTGGCGAAAGCTTCTGTAATTTCATTGTGTCTTTGTAACATTCACTCGGAAGTAAATATCGACGGAAAATACAGCTAAGTTCTAAAACAACTGGCTAGCGTCTAAACACAGCTCTACATGCTTTTCACCGTCTCTGCCAAAGCCAGTTCTTTTGGTGGTCTTTCTAACATCGGTTTGACAAAAACGTTACTGTTTCCGGCTTCGATTAGAACGCTCTGATTAACTGAAGTACATGCAAAAATAGTGAGCTCATGGGGGGGTCTCAGTATGCCCAGACCACGAGGTCACTCCTAAAAACAGGGCTACTACTTATTCATTATATTACGGTTGTTTTTGTTCAGTAGATAAAAATCATCATCTCCGTCGTAGATGGATCAGTCTTTTCCCTCAACTCCTAGCTTCTCATTATCTGAAAACGAATTTAAATGTTATTATTTCAATTCAAGACATCTCCGGGAAGCTGAAAATTTGTTCAAATAATATTCAAGTTCTCTCCCGAGACCCCTCCGGATTCTGAAATCCAGGGAAAATAACGTCCTTTTTTCTCTCCGGAAGGTTGGACACGTCGTCTCAACACCCTTCCCAATTCTCGGGAATTGTTTTCTAACGATTGAAACTGCGCAATCGTTACAACTCGGAACTGTCTGATCGTCGTTTTTTATTCCAATTTTGATCTGTTTCTCACAACTGTTGCTCACTGTTTTTCTCTGCTAATTCCGTTGTTCTCCTTGCGAATACTGTTGTTCTTGTGTTTCGCCGTTTCAGTTGGTCGTTACGTGTCTTTGTTTTGAAACGAAATTTTGAAAATTAAATGACACTCCAAAATAATCCTTCCGAATTCGTCAAAATGAACGATTAAGACCTCTAATTTGTTAAAATCGTCAATAATCTCGGTCAGTTGTTACAATAAAATTTCGAATTCGAACTTGCATTTTGACACATTCTGGTCGAATGTCACATACTCCCCGGACAGCCCGGTAAATGTCATCATTGAGTCTCGTAGTCTTCATCAAAATGGTACAGTGCCATCGAACAGAATTTACAAAATGCATGAAATCACCTTTATCCACGTCATTTCGACTCACTGCAAAAAACAAATGGCATCATACTACACTATTATAGCTTTCAAAAACTTCTCACTAATCTGCACTTTCGAGGGTATAATTGAAGATAAAATATTTTTTCTGACATCCATTGTCTATGTCCCGATTTAAAATTTTTTCTCCTAGATTTAAAAGGTGTTGGGTCGCAGGACGGTCCTGCCAACCACCAAACTAAAATTATGCTACAGTGCTCCTTCCCTTCGGAAATTTAGTTGTTATTGGTCCTGAATATTAAAATTAAGGAAATCAGTGGTTAGAAGGAACAATGAAATAATCTCCCTCTTCAAGAGATTACCCAAGCCTTTCATGTCACCACAAAGTGATCAGTCGTCTTAGTTGATTAAAAACAATCATGCAGGCTAGAATATTTAATATACTCTCCTTTTGAGCCTTTCTAAATGAATAGTAAGTGTCTCTAAAGCCACCTACTAAAATCACAATGCAAATTTATAAATGCAACAAATTCCCTAGTCTTCAAAATTCAACTAAATGTTTTCTCTTCAGTTTCAACTGCAAACTTAGTTGCTTAGTCTCTCATTTGAATTCTTTTCACACAAACAATTCTGAGTTTTAACATCTTTTCCCTCACTGCTTCTTCGTTTTTTTCTTTGTTCACTCTTCGTTTTCGTCGTTTAGAAGTTCTAAAACTTCTAAATTCTTCTAATTTTCTTTCTCTTTGCATCTTCTTTTTCGGCCATCTGTCAATAATCTATCTCCTCCTCCTGTGGCATTGACTCCGCACTTTCAGTTTCAGTGTCTTGTAACACGTCGGTAGCTATTCTGACGCTGTTGGAGGCAGTCCTTCAACACTTCTGCTCTTCTACTCTTTGTTTGCAACAAGGTAGAGGATCAATGTTAGTCTCTCTGTTTCGACAGAAGCTGCTGTTGTGGAGGCACAACGTCACGTTTCTCCCAAGTCATCCTTCAACATCTTTTCTTTTTCTTTTCCACTACGTTCACTCGTCCTGGAAATTCTCTTCACCGCAGTGGTCACTGCATTCCGATGAGTCACGAAAGCTCGCTTGAAAGCTCCTGCCCCGATGTCCAGCTGATACGCACTGTACACTCTGCTGTGTTTCGACATATGCTTCTTGGCATACTCTTACAACCATCCAGTCATGTTGGCTCTGAACCATGGCATCAGTCGTCTTCTGCCCCATATCTTTTTCGCTTCCATCGGAATGTTCAAGATTTTGCACGTTGTCTCAAAAAGGTCTAAATCTTTTAGACAATCCAATTCCTGCAATTGCTCTTTCGTAGGTGTTTCTTGTCAATTGTTCTCTTTTACATGAGCTTCCAGCCATTCATTGTTTTGCCATCATAACTACCACTATCACTATCGTTATGGGCTGTGATGAATCTGGTAAGCCCATGGAGAGCAGCTCTCCACAGTCACAGATCAACACCAGATTACTACGCTCGGGATACCACCATGTTTGTAACAAGCTATGGCAGGGGAACTCATCATGGGTCAACATGATGCTCCTCCAATTACGCTTTTTCCGACGCTTCCAGTAGTGGTTCCACTTCCATCATCACTCTGTGGACTTCATCATTCTCATCTACTGCTTTGTAATCTGTGACTGTTGACCCTTTCTGCTTCTGTCTTTCAAAGTCACTGAAGTTCCCACTGGCGTATCCCATGAACTTCTCTTCCAGTACCGATTCTAATTCTTCGTTGGATCTCTCTGGAGCTGCTGAAAACTTTTGCACAGTAACTCATAAGATTTTTCTGACATTCTCGCTAGTCTGACATTACGCATCTTGGCACTGGAAAGGCTTGATCCACGATCGTCCTCGTACTTTTCACATCCATTGCTACGAAATGCACGAAATGCTTTTATCGCACTGCCGTCGGTCTACGATAGGTTTTACTGTGCCGGATGTTAATTTCTTGCGAATACTGTTGTTCTCCTTGCGAATACTGTTGTTCTTGTGTTTCGCCGTTTCAGTTGGTCGTTACGTGTCTTTGTTTCGAAACGAAATTTTAAAAATTAACATGACACTCCAAAATAACCCTTCCGAATTCGTCAAAATGAACGATTAAGACCTCTATTTTGTTAAAATCGTCAATAATCTTGGTCAGATGTTACAATAAAATTTCGAATTCGAACTTGCATTTTGACACATTCTGGTCGAATGTCACATACTCCCCGGACAGCCCGGTAAATGTCATCATTGAGTCTCGTAGTCTTCATCAAAATGGTACAGTGCCATCGAACAGAATTTACAAAATGCATGAAATCACTTTCATCCACGTCATTTCGACTCACTGCAAAATACAAATGGCATCATACTACACTATTATAACTTTCAAAAACCTCTCACTAATCTGCAATTTCGAGGATATAATTGAAGATAAAATATTTTTTCTGACATCTATTGTCTATGTCCCGATTTAAAATTTTTTCTCCTAGATTTAAAAGGTGTTGGGTTGCAGGACGGTCGTGCCAACCACCAAACTAAAATTATGCTACAGTGCTCCTTCCCTTCGGAAATTTAGTTGTTATTGGTCCTGAATATTAAAATTAAGGAAATCAGTGGTTAGAAGGAACAATGAAATAATCTCCCTCTTCAAGAGATTACCCAAGCCTTTCATGTCACCACAAAGTGATCAGTCGTCTTAGTTGATTAAAAACAATCATGCAGGTTAGAATATTTAATATACTCTCCTTTTGAGCCTTTCTAAATGAATAGTAAGTGTCTCTAAACCCACCTACTACAATCACAATGCAAATTTATAAATGCAACAAATTCCTTAACCTTCAAAATTCAACTAAATGTTTTCTCTTCAGTTTCAATTGCAAACTTAGTTGCTTAGTCTCTCATTTGAGTTCTTTTCACACAAACAATTCTGAGTTTTAACATCTTTTCCTTCACTGCTTCTTCGTTTTTTCTTTGTTCACTCTTCGTTTTCGTCGTTTAGAAGTTCTAAAACTTCTAAATTCTTCTAATTTTCTTTCTCTTTGCATCTTCTTTTTC